ACAATTTTACATTTACCAAACATTTTGCCATTTGCTACCTCCCAATTTCTGCTCCAATCACTGTCTCTCTTTAGAATATGCTTGTCCCACTGCACCCTGTAAATCTTTACCTCTACCTCAGATACTGTTTTCTTGGCCTATCAAATGTTTTCTTCCAGACATAATTTCCCCATATAGAAAGTTTTTTTTAGCTTTTCTTCATTTAGCTTATAAAATATAAGCATTTTCATTGTTTTACTGGATTAGGAACTTCATAGTATATTTATTTTTTTAAACTTTTATAAAACTTTATTGAGAATTTCATACATGCGTATAAGGTGTTTTGATCAAATCCGTGCCCACTCCCTCCCTTCCAACACTTCCCATATCTCCACATCACTTTTTTCTTTTTCTTTTTTTTCTTCTTTCATTTATTTATTTTTATGGGGCTTTTGGGTACTCTAACATTCCCCCCACTGAAGATGTAACCCTAAAATCTTTTAAGGATTAGATACAAGCTCCCAAATACTTTCAACATTTTTGGCCTTAGGAATGGAGTATATTGCTAAGAGGCCCAAGGACATGTTGACTTTTAGCCAAGAAGCTGGCTACTTTTCTTTGGAGTCTTTTCACCCTAACTGCCTAGCCAATTCCTACCTCCTACTCTTATCACACCATCCTCTCAAGGGATTACCCGACTGCAGGCAAGGAATCAGGATGCAGACCACTCTGGCTTTTTGCATGTTGAACAGGGATGCAGGGTGAAGCAAATGGAGCACCCCTTTGGTGGGTCTATCCAAAAGACTCCCAAATTGCATAACTCTTATTTCTAAGGGGAAAAGAAAGTCCTTGACTGGTGAATAGATGTGAAGGAGAAGTGAAGGCAAGAGTAATTAGCATTACAAGTTCTAGACAGGAAACTAGAAAAAAAAGTCAGAACAGGGCAATTTTCAAATGTTCATATGAGAGTCCATTGGAATTTCTTGTATACTCTGTGACTCCTAACATGAGACCTAAATAAACATGTTTAGCTCTATCTTCCTCAGCAGATTTTGCATTTATTAAAAAAGTTGACTTGCAGTTTAAACTGGAATTTGGCTCAATGCACTTCTTAATATTTTAGTTTGTTTAATAATTTCTATGAGACTGAAACTTAAATAAACCAACTGAGTTAGATTATAGTTTCAATTTCATGTCAATGCATATTTAATTTATTGTATTATTAGGGAAACATTAACAGCAGGATCAAAATAAATGCAAAATTTGCGTTTGTCTTAACATGATGGAAGTTATTATCACTGGTATTACTAAGGTGATAAAGTCAGGATTCTTTTTTTAATATTTATTATTTTTATTTTATGTGTATGAGTATATTGCCTGCATGTAAGTGAGTGCACCCATGCCATGCAATTTCGCAAAGGTCAGAAGAGGGCTTTGGATTCCTCTGGAACTGGAGTTAAGGATGGATCACAGCCGCCATGTGAGTGCTGGGAATTGAACCCAGGTCCTCTGTAAGAGCAGTTCTTAATGCAAGTGGTTCCACTATAACTTGGGGCCTGTAGTGAAGAAAACCAGCAGTTTCTCATGTATGCAGGCATCATATCAATTTGAAAATGCACAATGCATCAGTAATAATAGGCTACATAAAGCTGCAATATAACACAACATCAAAATATCAGTGGCTTGCAGTAGCTAAGGTTTCTTTCTTACTTTCTGTTGCCTGTGAGCTGCCCGTGGTCTGTTGCACACCATCTGCATTCTGAGACCCAGATTCCAGAAGTGTCTCTTTGGAACATGGCTTCATGGTCTTTGAAAAATAAGGGTGGCAAATGTCATTTCCTCACCTTTTCATTTTGTTCTAAATAAATTACATAGAGAAGCCTAATCTTGGTAGAATGCAGGATTATTTCCCCCCATGCTGTAGGGCACTGCAAGTTCCATGGAAGAGCTAACATCAATAGCATAGGCATGCATAATACTTCTGCAGAAAGGAACAGGGAGTATTTCGAAGAACACACTTTCCTGTACCATATTTTCACATATTAACATTTGAAAATGGAATATATCTTAAAATCATTATGATTAGATTTACTTGGCAGATTTGTTTTTCTTTTTAGAAATAGAAAGCTATTGGTTCATAGATGATATTTTAAATTGAATGAAACTTGGTAGGCTTCAAATTGAAATGGATTCATCTAATTCATCTAGCATTGCCAAATGTATGGGTAGTTTCAGATTAAATAGTAATACACACTTAAGGAGCAAATAGATTTAAAGGCTGTGTATTTCAGATTTGTGAGGACTGAGCTATCCTTGCTCAGCTTACTTATCTTACCAAGAATAGCCAAAGTCAACTATAAAAGCATTTGAAGAAAACTGGGAGAAATTCGTAAAGAGAAAAATGATCAAGGGAATAGAATAAAAACTTTAGAAATAAGCTAAGTATGTCCCAGATGACCGAATGACCTCTTATGAGCCCCATGCCCACACACTTAAAGGTGTATACCTCCTCCGAAAATTGCCTCCTAAAATCCAGCTTCTGACAAATGTGTAACAAACCACATCCAACTACAGCCTAGGCCTGTTCCATTCAATCGCGTGAACCTTGTGTTAGGAGCAGGATTTTTGGTTGGTTTGCTTTTAGACTAAAATTAGTCTATATTTAGATTCTACTATCTCATGTGTTATCCCAAACAGATTGCTCTGTTTCCCTGTTCTTCTTCAGATATGATTGTATAAATAGGGCTCATCAGAGAAGCATAGCCAGTAGGATAGCGATAGAGATATAGGTTGATTTTTATAAGGAAATGGCTTTCATATTATGGAGGCTGTCTTCTGCAGGCCGTTTTATCATCTATCGAATTAGCTGCTTCTGGGTAGCAAACATAGTAGGATAAGTGACTGTGATCATTCATCATAACTGCCTCAGAATGAAAGTGTTCACATCCTTGTAACACATGAACCACAGGCTTTAACTATTTAATCACTTCCAGTTGGATATTAGCAATAATATAACATAGTGCTTGAAAGTACAGATAACCAAGAAATAGAATACAAGTCAAAACTGCGTGTTGCATAATATATAATTAAACTTCCTAGTTTCTACACTAAACAAATCTAGAGGTGAAATTGACCCTAATAATTCATTTTAACTGATAGATCTAAAGCATTATCCTTTAAATATGTAATAAACACAGCATTTAATTAGATAATTTTGCATTTCTATAGCACATCTTCTAAATTTCATAGTCTCCTACAGTATATACAATTTGAATGGTTACATTTTAAGTACTTAGTAGGCACCTAAGTTTGCCCATCTATTTAAACTCCTGTGTTTCAGCAAGCTGCTTTACTTGGGGATGGAGATATGGCTCAGTAGTTAAGAGAACTTGCTGCTCTTGTAGAGGACCCAGGTTCAGTTCCCAGCACCCACATGGCAGCAATCAACCAACTTTAACTGCAGTTCCAGGGGATCTAACACCCTCTTCTGCCTCCACAGGCACCATACATACAGGTGCACTTGTATACATGCAGACAAAGCATTCATACACTAAAAATACAAATAAATTTAAAAAAAATAAGATAGTTTACCCATCTACCTTATCTGTCAAAGGAGAATCCTGATAATACTACCAAATATAGTGGTTGTGAGGATGAAATCATGCTCTCAGGAAATGCTCAATGCATGTTATTGTATTCAGTATCATTTGATAACCAACCAGATAGATACTGATACAGCTAAGACTGTAGACCTGTATGGATGGACTCATGCCATACATTAACTTCAGTTAGAGTCTACATAGTCAGTCAGTTTTTCAGGGTTCAGCACTTTGTCTTAAGCCCTGACTAGGCATGGTGGCACAGGCCTTTAATCCCAGCATTCAGGAAGCAAAGACAGGCAGATCTCTGTGAGAGTAAGGCCAGCCTGGTCTACAAAGCAAGTTCTAGGTCAGGGGCTACAGGTAGAACCTGTCTAAAAAAACAACAGAGAAAGATATTCATCTAAACAGGATATCTACCTGGCAACTATTGAAAATATTCCATGTGTCTTTAAGTAAATGTAGAAAACTGCCTGTTGCTAGTAATTGAAGAGAGGAAAGGGACTATGTTCCATTACAGAGTTCATTTATACTGTTCTTTTGCTCTCGGTGCTGCTTAAGAAGGAATAATAGATAATGCAGCATGAAGACAATCATAGATACAGATCCTGGATCACGTTTGTTCCCAGCAGTGTGCTAACGGCTGTCTTTCATTTTGTCCGACACAAATGCATTCCTTACTTGGGCCGTATCCTGTCCTACAATACCCTTCTCCCCCTCTTCACTTGGCTGGTTGACCGCTCCTTTTTCAGGCTACAGATTCACTGTCTGGCTTCAGGCCTTCCCTGACCTTGCTTGCTGAAATGTCTTCTCTTTCATTCTCTATATCAACATCACAACTATTTCCTTTATCAGGTCACATCATAATTTATGTCTGAATTTTTAATAGTTTTCCTTATGTGTTACAAGAAATTTTGATTCATCAAGACAGGGCCTGGATCTGTCTTGTCTCAGCAACCAGTACAGTGCAGGACAGACATCAAATACTTGTCACACAACTGAAATGAATACATGACTAAATGGGTGTGTTAGGGCACTTTCAAAGATGGTAGTTGCTAAAGTGATTTATTATGCTAATATATTCACATCAAGCAGGTATGAAAGCTGCAGGAATTTTCAGTAATATCCAGTTAATTATTAATTCATAAGAGTAGAGACTACATTTGAATTTCAAACTCTGTTTCCCAACATAGTGCCCATCACGCATTAGGCTTTCATTTATTTATCTGTTGATTGACTGAATAAGTTAACTCCGATGTGAAATCATAGACTTTGTGTCTGTACCACAAAGAATTTTGCTCCCAAATAAAATTTAGTATGAATTAAATGTAAATGATATTTATATTTATAGGTGATTTAAGACGAGAAGGCTACAATAGTGATTTAATATGTACATATTTTTTGTTATATTTTTTTCTCAAGGGACCTGTTGGTTTACCTGGAGAAGTTGGAATAACAGGAAGTGTTGGTGAAAAGGTAATTTCCTCCATTATTCTGTTTTATGCTAAGAATTCCAGGCTAAATTTTACTTTCATGGCATTTCATGTTGATTAGAAGGCACTCATCAACCTGGTGGGGGGATAGGAAGATGAGGAAACACAGCATCTGCTTAGATATCTTCCACACTGAGTACCTCTCTCTGACTTAGGGGCCACCCAGCTAGTGGCCCACAGGCTCACAGACAGCAGTAGCATGAGGGAGATTCTTCCTTTCCTGCATTGATGAGCCTGTACACTGAGACTGATGGTAGTAATTCAGCCTAGCAGTGGTCACATACCCTGTAAACCCTACTAAAATAAGCAAGTAGAGCTCCACATATAAATAGCCTTTTCTGGTCTAACTGCCTGAACATCAGAAAGAAAGCTACTCAGTACCCTCCTGTCCTCTATGAAGTGAACTGCAGGATGAGAAGTCTAGATAAAAACAGAGCATCTCCAGCCTGTCTCCTCTGCAAGGAGGAGGTATTGTTTGACTTTTCTTCTTTATGATCGTTTAGCTCTATCCTTCACTTCTGTTACTGTGTTTTCCCTCACTATTATACCTTCAACCCCTACATCTTCCACTCTTTCCAGTGTTGCATCTCTATTTTTCCCTTCCCTGCCTACCTTCATTTTATTGCTAATTAATACTTTCAACTTTAATGATTTTTAAATTCTTAGTTTATTCTGTAGGATTCTTAGTTCCTTTCTTTTCTCTCCTTATGGGGAGTGTAGTTGATATTTCCGATTTTTTTAATTACATTTAAATATGTGGCTTGTTTTTGCATTATTGTTACTATGGTCTGCTTCCTCTCTTCTGAGAAGTAGAACTGAAACCTCAATGTAAAATGACCCACCGAGAAGATGTTCATATAAAGAGATACCCCAACAGATGCCAAAGTGTTGACATAGAAACACAAGAAAATTGAAAAAGAAAGATAATGTGACTCATCAAAAGTTCATAACTCTTCAATAACTGACTCCAAAAAATAATGAGATGGTTGAAGTGCTAGATAAATAATTCAAAAGTTTACTTTAAAACAATGACCAGTGGCCTCAAAGAGGATTCAAATAAACAGACAAATGAAGTAAGAAAGTCAATTCAAGATTTAGACAGGAAATTTGGCAATAGGATGAGAAGCAAAGATAGAGATTCCAGGGAAAAAAAAAACACACAGAGATATGTGGAAATCTTGTAAATGATAAGCACCATAAGTCAGATTGAAATAATCAATGCTATGGAAAGGATCACCAATAATTAGAGTAAGCAGAAGAAAGGTTGAAGACATGATTAAGGAACTATTACATTCAAATATCAATAAAGATAAAAGAGTCATGACCATGCCTTTAGAGAGTTCTGGGACATGATCATGAGATCGAAACTAAGAATTGTTAAAGTAGCGAAAGAGCTGAGCTACAAATTAAAAACACAGAAAATCTATTGGCTGAAGTTGTACCAAAAAAAATCCCAAATATAGAGAAAGATATGGGCATTTAGAACTCCAAATAGACATGTCCGGAAAAAGATTTTTCTGTCACATTACAGTTAAAGTGTCAAAAATGCAGAACAAACAAAAGTGTTAAGTAGAATTCCATCATGCTAAAAAGCAAGAGAAAGCCCAAGTTATTTAAAAAGGCAAACTTATGGGACTAACATCAGACCTCTCAGCAGAAACCCTAACATCAAACATGTCCTGGAGGAATATCATTCAAGCCCTGAGAGTAAAAATCACCAACTAAGATTACGCTATCCAGCAAAGTTGTCTTCTAAAACTTTTGGAGAAATAAAGACCTCCTAGGATAAAATTCTAGAAATTCATTACCACTAAGCCATCATTTCAGAAGATGCTTAAAGGCTTCTACAGATAGATGAGGAAAAAAGACGGTCACAATCACAAAAACTTGTGAAATAGTAACTCTCACAGGAACAGATGAACAGATAAGAACTGGGAAAGAATGAACCGTGTTCAAGTCAGTCAGTAAATCAGCAGTTCTCTATGATGAATGAAAGAGAGAGAAAAAATAATGATGGCTATTCAAATCAACCAAGGAAAAAATAGCATGAAAATTACTAGGAATTAGCCTATAAGTCTCAATAATAACCTTGGATGCAGTCTTAACTAAAAGACGCAAATGTGCTGCTTGGACTAAAACAGTAAGAGCCAACTTGTCTCTATTGTTTACAAGAAAGTTGCCTCACTGCCAAAGACAGACTGAATAAAAGGACAGAAAATAATACAGGAAACGAAGGGACCCAAAGTAAGCTGAAGTAACCATGTGCATATCTGACAAAGTAGACTTCAAGCCAAAGTTAGTCAGAAGAGATAAAAAGGATCACTGTATAAGAATAAATGGAACAATCCATTAAAAAGATATAATAATTATAAATATGTGAAGCCAGATGTTGGTGTATACTATTTCATAAAATCAGCACTCTGGATGTAAAGTGAGATGTTTCAATGTCTCACTATCCTCAATAGTTAGGTCGGCCAAAGAAAAATTAACAAAGAAACTTCAGAGATAAACCACAGCATAGATCAAATGAAATTGCTGGATGTCTACAGAATATTTCATCTAAGAGCTGTAGAACATACTGAGGGAGAAATCAGGAAAACAATGTCATTCGCAATAACAACACAACAGCAAAACCGTTGAAGTAAACCTAACCAAAGAGATGAATGAAGTGAGACTATGAAACGCTGAAGAAATAAAAGACACTGGAAAATGGAAAGATCTCCTATGTTCATGGATTGGTAGAACTAACATTCCTAAAATAACCATGTTACCAAGAGTATTATACTAATCAGTGCAATCTCCACAAAATTCTTTGTAGATATAGAAAAACAATTCTAAAATCCATTTGAAAAATACAAGGACCCCAAGTAGCCAAAGCAATCCTGAGCAAAAAGAGCAGTGCAGGAGGTGTAATACCTGATTTCTAACTATATTACGGAGTCAAACTAACAAAACAGCAAGGTATCATCAAAAAACAGACACATAAAGCTGTGGAATAAGACATCCAGAAATAAGAGTACACAGCTATAGCCATGTGATTCATGAAAAAGGTGCCAAAAACATACACTGGGAAAAAAATAGCCTCCAGCAAATGATGTTGGGAAAGCTGGATGTCCATACATGGAGGACTGAGACTATAGTTCAAATATCAACTCAAAGTAGGACAAAACCTTAGCTTAAAACCTGAAACTATCCCAGGAAATTGAGGGAAATGCTTCAGGATCTAGGTATAGGCGATGACTTTCTGAAGAAGCTTTCAATGGCTCAAGAATTGTAGCAAAACAGACAAATGAAATTGCACGAAGTTAATAAGCTTCTGCACAGCAATTGCCAGAGTGAAGAGACAGTTGACACAATAGGAGAAATGTTTTTCCAGCTACTCATCTAGTGAGGGATTAATATCCAGAATATCTAAATAATTCAAAAAATTAAAGATGAAACAGCAAATAATTCAATGGGCATGTGAACTGAATACTTCAAATGAAAGAGTACAAATGTCTAACAAAATAAAAAAAATTCAGCATCTATAGCCATGAGAAAAATACTAATCAAAACTACACTGAGTTCCGTATCACCCAGTCAGAATGAATATCAAGATAACAAAAAGCAACAAATATTGGCGAAGGAACAGGGGGACGATCCTTAATGTAAAGTAGCCCAACTACTAGGAAATCAATATGGAGTTCCTCACAGAATTAAAAACTGCCACCTATACCACATCCAGCTATATTCTCCAAGAATAAAAATCAGCTTACTGTTGGGATTCCTGCATACCTCTGTTTATATTTACAATACCCAAGTTATTGAATTGATCTGGGAACCCATCAACAGATTCATGAATAAAGAAAGTGTTACACAGTGAAGTTTTGTTTAGCCATAAAAAGGAATAAAATTATATCATTTGCACTCAAATGAAGATCATCATGTTAAGGGAAATAAGACAGAATTAAAAGGGAAAAATATCTTCTAAGAGTTGAGAGATAGGCCGGGTGTGGTAGCACACGCCTTTAATCCCGGCACTCGGGAGGCAGAGGCAGGCAGATCTCTGAGAGTTCAAGGCCAGCCTGGTCTACATAGTGAGTTCCAGGCCAGCTGGGGCTACAGGGAGACCTTGTCTCAAAAAGACCAAAAAAAAAAAAAGAGTTGAGAGATGCATTAATCTATGGCTATAACTAGAAATCAGTTTGATATTACATCCATTTAGCAGAATAGTTGTATTGGGCTTTTTCCCATGGCCTGTGGGCTGTCTAGCCTCAGGCTCCTAGTCTTGATAACTGTGTTAGGTATGGGCTCCATCCTATGAAGCAGCCTTAAATCCGATTAGAAAGTAGCTAGTTACTCCTATAATATTCGTGCCTCTACTGTACTTGTGGGTATATCCTCCTGGCCAGTTGTAATTTGCAGGATTGACAGCTGGGTAAGGGTCTCTTCAGGTAGTTTGTATAGCACCTTCTGTGAAAGCCAGACAGTAGAAATGAGGTTTAATGCATCTCTCAACTCTCAGCAGAGAAGATTCCTCATGCAGCAGATGGTGATTCACAAAGAGAACCACAAGTGGCCAGTGTGTAAAGAATAAGAGACTTCAGACTGCTTATCCCCGAACAGAACACTTAAATCAAACTTCCACCTCTCAAAGCCCAGGGATCATAGTGGAAGAGGGGGTAGAAAGATTGTAAGAGCCAGAAGAGATGGATGACCACAAGCAAAAGGTTTCCAGCTGGTCAGTTACTTGTATGAACTCAGAGCAATGCTGACAACATGACCAAGTCCCACATAGGGTCAAGTCAGACAAAATCCCAGCATAGATATGGGGAAGTGGGCAAGAAACCCCAACCCTACCTGAGGGGCTATTGGCAATGAATGACTACTGGGAAGGGGAGATTTAGTTTCATTTAAAGGTGAGACTCTTGATAGGTTGATCCGGCTCCAGTGGATGAACCCACACTGAGGGGCATTTGGGGACACAAACCTGACTCTATAGGCCATATATAAATGTGTGTGTGCGTGTGTGTGCACATGCACAGAAATTTGGTGGGGTTGAGAAAGAGCGTGCAGATATGTGAAGGAGTCTAACTCTGATCAAAATATATAAGACAACAAATTCAATGAAAATTAATAAAAGAGGAAAAAAATCATGTTTTCTCTCATATGTGGAATTTGGTAAAAGCAAATGGGAGACTTTTAAGGACGTGAAAGGAAAAAGTGGGAGAGAAGACACAGGAAATGATAGCAAAGGGCATACGTATGATTCAGGTATGCTACATGCGTTTTGGAAATATGATGAAAGCTTTTACTTTTTACAATTAATATGCATGCGTAAAAGAGAATTCATTCACAACGTTAACATATTACCCATCGAGTCTCTTAAATATGTTGAAATATGGCTAAGCTGCATGTTTGTTTCTAATTTTTAAAAAGTAGAGTACCCCTCTGGCTATAAAGATGTAATCTCAAGTTAAATATGAAATGGACAGTGCAGATGCAGGACTAGAAGATATTATGTAATTCTACTGTGTGATAATGGCCCCCGTGGGGAGGAAGTTTGAATGAGACGATAAGCTGCCATTTCACTGTTCTCTGTCCCCTGCCCCATTATTACTGTTTTGTTCCTCTGCTGTCTTGCTGCTGACCTCATCGAGGATTTCATCTTCCCTTGCTTCTCTTCATAGACAAACTTTGGGTTCAGTTGAATTTCCCCATCTCCTAGGAGGTCCTCCCCGCACTCCTCTAATCCTTCCTAATTTCTTCACCTACTAGAGTTAGAATAACCTCTACCTGTTTAAAATTCACCTTTCCTCTAATTGTTTCACCTCAGTTAATATCAAATCTACAGTTACTTGAAGTAACAATCTAAATTAATGTTTTTAATAGATCTCCCAACTCATATAACATAACTGTTTAATATATGTGTATTTATTTTTGTTAATAATGTGGCAATACATACTGATTCAATTAAAAATTGATATATATTTACCATTTTAAATTCTGATTTAGTTAGTCATCCATGAGTTAAATTTTAAGCAGTAAGATTTTGACAAGCTGGGAAATTTTAATTTGAATCTATTTAACCTTAACTTACTGTGGTAGAATTGATTATCATCATCTTCTAGAATCATTTCTGTAGCACTTCTCTGTGGTTTACAGACTATGGAAATATTTTTCAATAGTTTGAGAGATATGTTAATTTTTTAGTGTTTCATTCTGTCATGATTTTTATGCTTTGTATTCTCATAAAGTTGTAAGCATTCCTGTTTCTAAAACTTTAGCAAGGCACATGCTTCATATAAAATCCTATTTATCCACAATTTCTATCTTCTTTATTTTAATAAGGCTTTTAACATGCTCCCTTGCAGATATCATAAGAGAATTTTATTACATTAGACTTGGAACTGTGCAGTTAAAAATGCAAACTTTGTAAAATTACTGTATTGTAAATGTAAAGCATTAAAAGGAAGATGGGCTATGCACAGAAGGTATAAACCAGGAAGATTCCCTTTTAGCCTCAGCTCCATCACTGATGACATGACTCACGGTGGCTCTCTTTCTTTGTCATTTTAAAAGGGAGAGCGTGGAAGTCCTGGACCACTGGGTCCCCAGGGGGAAAAGGGTGTCATGGTAAGAGCTCAATGTTTTTAAAAAAATCTATTTCCCAAGTCACAATAATAAAGTTAAGGTCATTCAGAAGCAGATTGCTTTGACTGGAATTTAGGTGAAAAAGGCTATTTTATAATAAATTTGCATTAATTTTTTTCTTTTTAATTGTTTTATCTCCCAGAATGATACTATGTGGCACCAAGTTTATGAAAAAGAATATAAGTGAAATGGCTTAGTGAAATTAGTCTATAGTTTTTGAAGAATTAAATGACTATAAAATATAAAATTACCCATGATGGATTTAAAAGAAAATTCAATTAAAATTCAACTTGTTCTATAATTCATAGTCTATGTGACACGTCATCAAACCATTCCTCCATCAGTTTGTGGTCATGACATAGTTTTTGACACATAAGGCATCAGAATTAGTGTTAGTGTCACAATATGTATGTTTTTCTAAAATCTGATGGGCTGGTGTGTTCATGCAAATTCACATTCCTTAATTATGGGATTCTCTGAATTCTCTGGGAAGATTGTTGCTTACATTCTGCACAGCCCATACATAAAATAACAACCTAGAGGAAATGAAGGTGTCTTCTCAATAGATTCTAGTATGTGATGCCACCTAGAGACTTTCTATTCTAGGCAAAGACCTAATAAATGGATATATATTTTAATTTTTATGGTCTTATTATAAAACATATCCTGTGGCTTTGTATATCTAGGATAGGAGAGGGGGATCTTATCACATTATTTTCAGCACTATTTGTGATTTACTAGTTTTTCTTGAATGAATAATAGATTCCATATCTTCATATTTCACTTAAATCACAGGGCTATCCAGGTCTTCCTGGAGTTCCAGGACCCATAGGTCAACTGGGATTGCCTGTAAGTATAATATCTACCTTATAATCTCTTCTAGAATATCTATTTTAATTTAAATCCATTGATTTTTTTATGTGACCTCCCTTTGTTATCTCACATAACATAAGCCACATGTAAGGGAGTGGCCACTACTGCTTTCCCAAACTATATGAACATTCTGGAATTTTTCTTGATGTCTTGAATTTCCTTACCCCTTTTTAGTAACCAATTTCAGTTATTTAGACTAAACTGAAAATTATTTACTCTTTTTTTAGAATGACACTTGAAAGAGAATATGATCAGTAATCAAATATAGTTGAGATCAAATGGGTTAACAAAACACAAGCATAAGTCACAGTATATTTTTCTTAATATTTGTAAATATTCTCAAAAAATGGAAGTGTTTGGTAGGGAAAACAAGCTTTGAGTATATTCCATTTTTTTACAGAAAAATAATGAAATATCCTCCCTAAAATATTGTCAAAATTTGTTATTGTGAATGTGAATCTGAAAAAAGTCAGCCTCTATTGTGCCTGAACAGAATTTGTCTTTCTAGAAATGGTTTATACTATGCTTTATGATGCATCCGTTGTAAAAAAAAAAAATAAGCCTGACTTTCTACTACATTTATACACATGCTGTAGGCTTCTAAAATGAAGATTAATCCAGAGCATGGTTGTCAATCTCTTCACCCATGCCAACAAAAAAACAAACATGAGACCCCCTAAAGTCCAGTACATTTTTATCAACCTAAAGTTCCTAAGTATATAACAGAAGACATGGGTTATTAAATGAAAATTTCAGTATCAGGCACTGGATACCTGTCTGTGAGATATTGGTCAGGGAGGTCCCAGAGGCACAGGCTATTGCCATTGATCTTGGTTGCCTACCATAACTTACCGTAGGTAAGTCCCTATTGTTGAAGACACCACACATTTTGGCTGCAGTATGTAGAGAAATCAACCTCAAACTTGTCAGGAAACATTCCCTGTTGGCTAGCTTTCATAGTGCTGGAAGGTGCTATGCAGGCTGCTGTGGGAGAAAAGACATCTTGGTCTAATTCAGTGCTGAACCCTGCATGTTATGAGACAAAAGGCTCACTGGCGTAAAAGTGACGTGATGGTTACAGGGTTAACCAACTGCTTTCTGACTGGATTTAAGAGCTGATCCACAGAAGGGATTTCATGTCTGGTACTGTAAACCTTGTCAAAAGCTGGGGAGATCATAAGTTCCAGTGGGAACTTGTTGTTTTGCTAAATGGCCATATTGTCAAACTGTCCTTTAAAGATTTGGATTTTTACCCATAGCTTTGTGCTATTTTCTAATTGAGTCTTTATGGAAGACTATATCATAATATTTAACTTAAAAATAGCAACTTGATTACCTTTGTAAGCTGTTTTTGACATACTAGTTTGGGATAGCTTATGATATTTTTCATCGATCAAAAAAGTACACATATTATATGATGGGGTTATAATAAATATCTTGAATAATGGCGATGAAATTTTTGCAATAATAGTTACTTCTTTGATGAACCAGGCAGATTAGACTGGTCTGATTAGCTAAGTGTTAGCTCCTTCCCTCATTTCTCATAAGTGTCTCCCTGAACATTACTTATTCAAGATTATTAAAATCTTCCCATTCTTTATTTAGGGCATAAACACCCAGAAATGACATTTGTCAAAAGAGTACAGTATTTCAGGCAGGGAGTGGTGGCACACACCTTTTATCCAAGCACTTGGGAAATAGAAGCAAGGGGATCTCTGTGAGATCAAGGCCAGCCTGGTCTACATAATGAGCTTCAGGCCAATTGGGGCTATTAGGAGACCCTGTCTCAAAAAAACAAAAACAAATAAAAAAGAGTAGAATATCTCAAAAGAATATTGGGGAGGGAGGCATGGCATTGGGTAATGAATTTTATTTTTTAAATTAATAAGGAAAATTATAAGAAAGGCTATAACTTCTCTTCTGATAACATTTCTATGAATTCTATATTGCAACATATAGGGTCATGTGGGGGCAAGAGGTGCACCTGGGAGTCCAGGCCCTAAGGGACAAAGAGTAAGTAACATAATCAAAGAAATGTGTCAACTCCAAACAGTTACCTCATGATGCAAACTTGATTAAAATAGCTCTATACCTTCTAAAAGTGTGCTTATATATTGTCTGATTATCCCTTTGTTTTCATTCTATCTGATGAATTTTATATAGTCATCGAAATGATTAATAATCATTTGTGCTTATAAAAATCATTATTTTTCATTTTACTTATTACCTATATCACAATATCATGTAAAAGTCTTTGTTCTTGTCAGCCGCTCTTTCCATCCTTTAGGGTCATTGTAAACATGAAGATCTTCCAATAAATTACGTTTCTACTCACAGCAGATTTATATACCAAGTGTAACAAAACAAAGCAATAAGAAAGAGAATGAAGGTACAAGGGTTTATCAGTTGTAAAGCAGAGGGGTTGTCTAATGATTACATAGTAGAATTAGGAGAAAAGGATTTTCATCTCCCAAGTTGTCTCTTAAACGTCGTCCTTTTTTTATAAGAAATGAGCCCCACTTACTGCATGCCTGTCACATGACTTGCACATGTTTTCTCACTTAAGGAGATGTGGTATTGTATCACATATGTAGCAAAGGAAACAAGGGCTCAGTGAATATAAGTGTATGGCCTGTAGACCACAGAAAAATGTCACAAACAGTATTCAAACCTTGGTGTATCTTACTCCAAAACCTATGTTTACTTAATGTCACATGAAATGTTAGTGAATATTTTTTTCTTGTCTGAATGTGTGGGCTTTAAGAATTTCATTTTAGAGCTAGTAAAGAAAATATTTAGAAATTATAGAAAATTGACCTCTGACAAAGATTTCAAAAAACATTTTAAAAAGAAAGATTGAAAAAAAGAACTTTGCATTTCCCTACTGGAAAATGGAAGAAAAAATTTGTGAACTGTTGTTTTGAAAAACAGCTTTGGGGTCTGGAGAAATGGCTCAGTGGTTAAGAGCACTGGCTGCTGCTACAGAGGACCCAAGTTTGGTTCTCAGCACCCACATGGCAGCTAACAACTGTCTGTAACTCCAGTTTCAGGAGATCCAACACCCTCTTCTGACCTTTGTGGGTATTGCATGACACGAGTGCACTTAAATACATGTAGGCAATACACTCATACACATAAAATAAAAATAATAAATAAAATGTTTTTGTTTATAAAACAGCTTTAATTTTATGTCCTGATGTTTAGGTGAAGATTGAAGATAATAATTTGTCTTTATTATTATTTATTTTATGAAAAGCTATTTTTCCTTCTTGGCTTACAGATTTGCAGTCTACAAACAACACTGATGGCCAGTTCATTTTTGTCTAAATTACTTGAAAACTAAGACAAAGTGATTTGTACCTAAATGTCATTTTTCAATTTATACCCGGCCAGCACTTAATCCTTAGGTCAAATGTGCTTATTCAGTGTTGTATGAGTCATAGTGGGGAAGTTCAAACAGTTTTTGACAGGTAGGTTTAAAAAAAAAAACAAAAAAATCCTTTTGCGAGTCCTTTATTAGGTAAATTAGACTTAGCTCTCATTGACTCTCAAACAAATCCGTGCACCTAACCATGGTACATGCTCAGCTCATAAATCCTCTGGAGAGTTCATCGGCTCTGCACTTGTCCATCCTCACCATGTCGGTTCCTATTTTCCTGAGTTGTAACTTTGTCTTCATTCCTCAGATCTCCGAGGGTCTTTCCCCTCCTTCTCCAAATACATTTTACTGACTGTCTCCCAAAGTTGCTCCCCATAATTTTAAGCTTTTCCACTCAGTAGTTTACACAAAAAGAAACTTCGTTGGGGGAGGAAGGCGTCTTTCTCTACTAGAAGAACATTTTATGCAATTACTAGACATTGTACGGGGTGGCGGGCCGGGGGGTGGGACAGATTGAGAGCACTGAATGGGTCTGGAGCTCTTAAGAGTGCTTGCTGTGCTTTCCAAGGACCCTAGTTCAGCAGGTAAGAGGGCTGCCTGCTCTTGCAGAGGACCTGGATTTGATTCCCAGCACCCACATGATGGCTAACAACCATCTGTAACTCCAGTTCCAGGGGAATCTAACACCCTCTTCTGACCTCCAAGGACATCGCATGACATGGTACACTTACGTATATGCAAGCAATATACTGATACACATAAAATAAAAATAATAAGGACTACAGAGATGGCTCAGCAGTTAAGAGCACTGTCTCCTCTTCCAGAGGACCTGGGTTTGATTCTCAGCACCCACATGGTGGCTAACAACCATCCCTAACTCCAGTTCCAGGGAATCCAATGCATTCTTCTGACCTCTGCAGCATTGCACAACACAGGTGCACTTTCACTCATGCAGGTAATATACATACACATAAAAAATAAAAATAATAAAATATTTTTAAAAGATAAATAAATAAATATAAAAATAAGTTTTTTCAAACTGAATACTAGAATATTTGAGGGAAAAATGTGATTTCATAGTAAAAGTATGCAGTCCTCTTAACACTCTCTTCTCTTCAAGCATTTTCCATTATGACCATGAAATAGGTATCCTAAACCCATCCTTTCTCTCACAAATATAAAAATACTTTTCCCGCCCATTGAGGTAAATGGAAAGTGTATCTGACTCGTGATCTTGGTCCCTCCTCCACGGCCCCCCCAAAGGCTAAGAGTCAGTTCTTCCTATACACTTGTCATCCCTGTGTGTTGCAGGATCCTGGAGGGAAACTCTATGTATAATACAAGTGTTCTGTAGCCACACAAATGATCATGATGCTTAATGTATTTTTCCTGTCTGTCTGTGGTTTATATTGCTATGCAATATTCATATGAATGTCAGGAATGGTAGGACCATTCTTGGGAGATTCTACCTGCCTGACAATCACCATACATCTATCTGATGTTTGTTTATTTCCTACAATTTGTCAAATACTGGCTAGTACCTCCAGAGGACCCTAACTCAACTATCCCTCAGGAGTAGACCACACTGGACTTACCAATGTCTTGTATCTTACAATCTAGAAATCATGCAATACTAAACTTCACCAAAGGAAAGGAAAATTCATGCAGGTTTCAAAACACACATCTCAAAAACAAGCCAAACATATTAGCATCATGAAAGTTTTTTTCAAGCTGTTTTGTGATAATTGCATAACCCTGCCTCTCAAATACCTGAAAAAAAAAAAAAACAAGGTAAACTTCAAAACATCCAGTCATAAATACCTTAAATTCTTATAACTATCCTTTATTTTTAAAAAAGCATTAGTTATCTTACATACCTTAACCATTTTTTTCTTTGTCTTTTTGAGGCAGGCTCTCCCTATAGCCCCAGCTGTCTTGGAACTCACTATGTAGACCAGGCTGGACTTGAACTCACAGAGCTCTGCCTGCCTCTGCCTTCTGAGTGCTGGAACTAAAGGTGTGCGCCACTACGCCCAGCCAATAGGGTGCTGGGATTCGAACCTTTAACGTTTTGGTTGTTAGCCTTAGCCTTTAACGGCTGCACTATACCAGCTGAAGAATAGTTATTTAATATACTAAAACTAATTATTGCAATACACAAAATCATTTCTTTTGTATAGATGATTTAAGTTAGCAGATTCTCTGGTCTCATACTAGGAAGATAGTGGATGGCTTGCTGGGTAACTGGGAGTCAGCACAACCTCACCCATTGCCCCTCGCAGGCACCATTGACTCTGGAGATAAACATGAGAATCTCTTGATATCTGCCTAGTGTCTAGCTGCCCAACAGGAAAAATGATGCACAGGAAAATTAACCTCACCTTCACCCTTGGGTATGAACTGAGCCTTTGATTACAAGATTCCTTCAAATTCTGCACTCTCTCTCCAGAGCAGTGGTAGACAGCTGAGTAATTTGGCATTCTGACTATGCTACTTAAGACCCACACGAAGTAGAGGAGCTAAAATAACTATGTTAGAAATATGCAATGTTTTAAGATGTTTCTCAGGAAAAGTAAAATGGATATGATCATAAAAATTCTGCCTGTTGGGGCTGGAGAGATGGCTCAGTAGTTAAGAGCACTGGCTGTTCTTGCAAGGAACCTGGTTCCCAGCACCCACATGGTAGCTAACAACTTTCTATAATTCCAGTTCCTGTTCCTTCTTCTGGCCTCTGTAGGAATTATACCACGCAAGTGCACAAATACACATGCAGTCAAAACATTCATACATGTAACATAAAAATAAATATTATCTTTTGATTCTTCATGTTGAACCCTTCTACCATTTTAAGGTAAAGCAGACTTTGTAGTATTTATATTTTGACTCCATGCAAGCTAACATCTGAAGTGTCCCAAATGATGTCCCATGAAGTTTTTCCCCTCTGAAAATAAAGTTTATAACAGGAATCTTTTCCCTAAAAGTACTAACAACTTTAATTTTATTCAGTAGAACACTCGGTTCCAGCTGTGTAAACCAAAAACCGGAAAAAGACTGCTTAGCATCATTAGTGAAGCATGCAAGTGAGTTAAACTTAATAGGGGGTTATACAAAGATCCAGATACGGTTCAGGAACATATAAATACACTCCATCCATCTGTTATGAGAGTGCAGGAATGTCCTTCATTCATAGACACTTAGCTTATCATAGCTCATTGCAAGGATCATAGGAATGGGTTTAGTGCTCTCATAAAAGTCTTCCTACGTAAACCAAACGTGTTTGTATTAATGTTTTAGTTTCTTTTTTAATTGTAATATTTATATGAAGTATCAAGTCCTTTAACTGAACACTTAATGCATTTGGGATTAAGTTAATCATTCCCAAATCTGGCTAGCTCTTTAAGATGCTTATCTACCTTTCAAAATTATCTCTTTAGCAAAAATACCTTTCTTTACTGTAGCTGAGCTACTAGTTTTTGGAGCCCTCTACTACCTCACCACCTTTAACATTCTTAACAGCATAAAGAAGAGATCAGATATTCTACTTAGTTAGCATACTTTTATACAGAGAATACTCTGGAGAGAGCCAGGAAACATTTTCAAGCAGTTTTTATTAAATGTTATGCCAGTGACTAGAAAGATTCCTCAGCATTTACGAGCACTGGCTGGTCTTGCAGAGGACCCAAATTCAGTTCCCAGCACCTACATGGTGGCTAATCACTGTCCATAATTCCAGCTTCAGAAGATCTGATGCCCTCTTCTAACCGCCATGGGTATTGCATGACACAAGTATACTTGCATATATGCAGACAAAACACTCATATACATAAAAAAATAAATTTTAGAAATAAAATAAATAATTTTATGCCAAATTACATGCTTGATATAATGCTGCTTGCTGAATTGTTTTTAAGTCTCGTTCTAAAGTTTATTTTGTATTAAGAGTCAAATCAAGTGTGTCCATTAGCCAGTAAATAATTTCTACAACCAGAGGGAAATTCAAAGCTAAGCCTTTAGCTAATTGGCTCACTCTTGCCTGAAACACGACAGGACAAGCCTCCCTTTGAATGCTGTTCTTAGCCCTTCATACCGCAATCCTAGGCTTTATGACCTTAGTGAATGCAACCTCCTTATGTAGATTTCAAAGTCACCCTTACTCTCATCCTATTTTCATCTTCAGTTGCACAATTTCTGGGTATTTCTAACAGACCTCAGGATCTTTTCACTTCTATGTCTACTGCAGTGACATGACATTCCCCGGATTCTTTTCAGGACTTGCAAACTCACATTCTTCATACACCTACCCACATGACACCTCAGAGAGACTTCTCAGACCTTCCTAACTAAATAAGTGTTCCTTGCCCTGGATGTTCTCCAGTCTTATAATCTCCTTTATTTTTCTTCATTATATTGACCATTTCACTTTTTTAATCATGTACTTTAATTTTGCATATTTATTTGCTTGCTTATGAATTCGAGAACATTTCTTCTCCCTCTTACCATGTCCTCTAAACCTGAAACATTAGCTTGTCATAGGCACTTAATAAATGTTTGTTGGTTGAACAGCACATTTTCAGATTATTGGTCAATTAAATTATACCCCTGCTTTTCAATTTTGCCCTTGTAGATGTATGTAGCACAATAAAAACTGACATTTAGTTTTCCAGTCTTTTACGGGGAGAGTCCTATTGTAGTAATCAGTTTTTGATAATATGCCGAACCTAAGCTTACCTCAATAGGGATGCAAAAGAAGTTGCTGGGGTCAACACAGGGCCCCCCTCAAATCAGCATTTGACATGGGGATATCTGTACCATTGCTTCTACATGAATCTGCCTTTCCCCATCACCAACTCTCTTCAATATAAATACCAGACTTTCTTTTTTCATATTTCTCTACATGAAATCAATACCCTGGCTAAACAAAGTTCCATCCTTTGAGCATCTTACTTCCTGCCTCTGTACCCCTCCTCATGCTGACCCTTGGTTTCCTTCTACTTCGAATAAGGCCTTGGCTGTTGAATTTGCACTGCAGAAAGTATCTCCATTCCTGGGACAGATGCGTCAAGGCTATCTCCTAAGGAATTCTCCTCTTGGTCCTCTCTATATTATTTACTATTTGCATAATTTAACTTTTTATTTTGTAAGTTTCATCATAAACTCTTACAATTATGTGTCCATGGAATAATTACTTCCATTCTACTATAGATGTGCAGTAAGAGACTATGGCATTAAATCTCTTAAGAAACCCTTCACGATATCTATAATTTAGAAAGGAAGACTATATTATTATTTTATGAGAGAATGGCTTTTGCAACTAGTGTCTCTCTGTAATTATTGAATATCTATTGAAAATACTTATATTTGCATAGCCATTTCTAGTATTTCTGTTCCCGTCCTATGCGCCTGCCATCTTCCAGTAATTACTGTCCAACAGGCACATAGAAAGTTTAATGTCACCAGCACTCATTTTCTAAAAATGCAAAGAGAAAAACTACATTCCAAAATTATGAAACTCAAGAAGACTATTTAGGTAAAGAAACCAGCCATGTTTAAGTGTATTTAGATTTAATTTAAGAATAAATCCTGGAGGACTACTAAGTAAATAATAAAGTTAACAAAATACCCCAATATGAAACATTTTTGGTATAATAACAATTTTTTAGTCATCTGACTTACTTTGTGCCAAGAAATCTTAAAAACATGGTTCTGAGTCTCCCAGGCAAAAAGGTTCGGCCATGTACATCGCTGTGGTTTTTTTTTTGTGTGTGTGTGTGGTCAGGACATTAAAAACAAGCAGGAGTTTGTCAAAGAACAGTGCAGTGTCATTTTTGGTAAGAAAACATAATTTAAAAAGAAACATTTTGAGGTTGGCAAGAGCTCAGGAGGCCAAGCAGTTGCTATGCAAGTGAAAGCTGCAGTTTGGTCCTTGGACCCACATAAGGGTGAAGAGAAGGAACAATCTCAACACATTGTACTCTGACCTCCATATGGTACACATACCCTCCCCCACCTAACAGTAATAACAACAACAATAATAACAAAAATGGTACACACACCCACTCCCACATAGTAGTAATAGCAACAACAATAATAACAAATGTACACACACCTGCCCCCACGTAGTAGTAATAACAACAATAATAACAAATTTAAGGAAAAAACAAAAACATTCTGGAGGCTGGAGAGTTGGCTCGGTGGTTAACAACACTGGTTGTTCCTGCAGAAGACCCAGGTTTGAACCCCAGCACCACATGGCAGCTAACAAGTGTCTGTAACTCCAGTCCCAGGGGATCCGACAGCCTTTTCTGTCCTCCGTGGGCATTGCACGACACGGGTGCATTTGCCTACATGCAGGCGATACACGCATACACATAAAATTAAAATAATAAATAAAATATTTTTTTAATTAAAAAAATAAAAAGGAACATTTCAAATTGGCAATGGTATATTTTCTTTTACCTCTAGGGGCCCAGAGGACCAGATGGCCTCCTGGGGGGACAAGGTGTGCAAGGCGCTAAGGTAATTGCTGTTCTTCTCATTTTATATGCAGTTTGACTTGATGGAGGCTTTAAGTCCTACATATCTGAAAAATGGTGTATTTCTTACCAAAGCCTCGTTCTTATCACACACTTACTCAATTTTTTTTCTTAATTCTGAGTTATAAACTTGATACTGTTTTCATGGTAATGTATAAGACCATAATGCAAATTCTTTCTAGTTTATCTGATATTGATGTTTTGTTAGGGTGAAAGGGGGAATCAAGGAAAAAGAGGGCCTCATGGTCTCATTGTAAGTAATACAATATTTCACATGAAATATGAATATTTTAAGCCTTCTTTGTTTTTCATATTCTTTCTCATGTTATTTTGGGTGGGGCTATATATCTAAGCATTTTTTTTTCTTATGTAGGGTAAGACTGGAAGCCCTGGAGAGAGAGGAGTTCCAGGAAAACCAGTAAGTTTTAGTATAGTTTTATTAATTATTATTTTATTAATGATCAGTCTGTGAACAATTTTTAATCTGTCTTGGAATGGGGAAACACTTAAACATTGCTTTCAGAGTTTTTGACAAATAATTATATATACATACATTAACAGTATACAATGCAATATTTTCATAAATGTATATTTTGGAATGATTATGAGTTTAATATTTCACAAGTATTATTTAGCATTCAGTATGTCAGAATAAGAGAATATTAATTCTTCCCCTCCTTCAATCAGCATGTCAGAGGGTGGGCAAGTGGTTTACCCATTCTGGGCCCTGGTTGTATCTCTTTTTAAGCTGGTGGTGATAATTGTTAATTTTATTTCACTGTCATTATGATAAGTTAGTTTTCTATAAAACTTATTTCAAAATAAAATGACACTATATAATGGTAATGTGACATAATAAAGCAAATACAAGAAGGTGCTCCCTAGCTTCATTTAAACTCATGCTGTTTGACCTTTGGGGTGTGGAACTATACTTGTGTCTTGCTTTCACTTTACACTGACCTAAGAATTTCAAATATTTTATAATGCTACATATTTTCTTACAGTCAAACATCTTACCAGAATTATATATTTCCCCCCTGTTTAAAAAAAATGCATCAGTAAATTCTGTGACTATCATCATGAAGTAAGGGAAAATGTTTTTTTTTTTTTTTAAAAAAAAAAAAGCACATGTGGGCCTGAGAGATGGTTCAGTGGTTAAAAGCACTTACTGCTCTTGCAGAGGAACCAGGTTCAATTCCCAGCACCCACATGGCAGCTAATAACCACCTGTAACTCCAGTTCCAGGGGATCCAATGCCTTCTTCTGACCTCCACAGGCATTGCATGACACAGGTACACTTACACACATGCAGGCAATATACTCATGCACATAAAATAAAAATAATGAATAAAATAAAAAAGTAAAAAACACATGTATATAGAAACATATGTACATATGATATGTAAATGAACACTCAAACACGTGTGTAAACATTTTAATTTCTTTCATTCCGAATCATAAAATTTTAATGACACTTTGATTTGTCATCTAAATGTATATTATACTTGTTAGATAATTAGATAACATAGATTATATCTGAGGGGTCAGAAAGACAAGGACAAGTATTTCAGTTGCTGGGCAGCATTTGCTTGTTCCTGTTCGAAGTCTGCTGCCCCCTGCCTGTTGTTTTTCACAATAGCAGTGTATTTGACAGTGACCAAATCTAAAATACCGGATATTTAAAAGAAAAAAAGAAGACTGTCCTGACAAAGAATTGTGTTTGGCATTGTATCGTTAGCTAAGGCATTCCCGAAGAACATCCCTGGAGTCTTAATATTCGTCATGCGGGTTTTTATTACTGCACCTAAGCTGACGCTGCGTCTGCAGATTGTGGGCATTCCACTACATTGTGGCAAGGCTCCCATGTTACAGCGAGGAGAAATTTGGAATGTCAATTCCTCTTTAACTCTTTCAACTTTTCCTTCATGTAGCTTGACCTTCTGTTAAAACTTTATTCACTTTTTATAACTATTATGTCTGCCTAATCATCTCACTCTTTTACTATTGCAAATATACCTATTTGTCTTGGTAATTCTTTTCCTCCTAGAAACACTGTTCATCTTGGAGCACTTTATTTGACATGAACAGTCTCTCCAGCTTTCACAGGCTTGCAGTGTGAATGTTCTTTCTGCGAATTTCCTTTCAATCTGTCTGTGTCTTGATATTTAAACTGAACATATTCCAGTTGGATCTTGCTGTTTATTCTGATAAGTTCTGTCTTTTCATTTCAGCATCTGCTCCATTTCTATCATTCTAATTGCTATGACTGGATTTTTTATTTGCTTTTCTGTGTGGGTCGTTTTTGGGTTTTTTGTTTGTCTTGCTGTTGTTCAACGCTCCTGTTAGTATTGGGTAGTCTTACTTTAACTTTTGATTTTTGCACTGCCCTCTTCATTATTAACTTAAGTAGGTCAGAGTTAGCAAACTTTTCCTGAAATATACCAGAAAGGAAGTATTATGTTAAAGGATATATGTGTTTAAAAAAAGCCTATCTCCCCCATATCTGAAAAGTATATATTTAATTTATATTAAAGCAAATAACATTTTGTTTATATTAAAGCAAAAGTTGTGTTTACAGTGAGGAATTCATAATACACATGGATGTAATATAGGAAACCATCATAGTATAACAGACAGAAAGTTTTGATAAATTGGCCCACATTTCTAAATGATGTCAATAACATGGAGCCTATGACATTTCCTTTAGATTTCTTTTAGTGAAATCTCCCAATGATGAATTATCCTAGTTTTGATTTATGGAATGTTTTTATTTCCCATTTACTCTTGAAGGCTGTTTTCACAGGATATAGGAGTCCAGATTTCATTTCCACTCTCATTGAGTACCTAGAGGAGAGGAATTTTTTGCCCTTCAGTGAGAAATCTGCGTTTATCTCTATCGTGTTCCCCTGTGTGGAGTGTCTTGTATTGGAGTCAGACGTGTTATTGGTCAAATACTGGTTCTGTGAGTTACTAACTGCTTTGATTTTGTAGGAATTACCTAACCCCTCTGAGCCTTGGTTTCTATACCTTTAAAAATGAATATCTTGGGCTGGAAACATGACTCAGTGGTTAAGAGCACTGGCTGCTCTTGCAGAGGGCCCCAGTTCAGTTCCCTGCACCCACATGGCAGCTAACAACTGTTCATAACTCCAGTTCCAGGGATTCGATGCCCTCTTTTGACCTTTGGGGGCATTGCATGACATGGTTGCACTTGTATACATACAGGCAATATACTCATCCACATAAAATAAAAATAATAAATATTTCAAAAACATGAATATTTTGATTATGGGAAGCTCTTGCTGCCTTTCCAGAGGACCTGAGTTTATTTCCCAGCACCTATCTCAGGAGGCTCAAAACTGCCTATAATTCCAGCTCCAAGGAAGGAATCCAACATCCTCTCTGGTCTCTGTGAACACTGGCACACACATAGCATTCACCCACACAGACACACACATGCACACACACATACATAAAATTTTAAAATAATAAAAATAAGTATTTAAAAATGAATATCCTTTATAGTTATAATTAATAGTGTTATCATGTTATCCTAAGCACAAACTCTTAATAAACAACCACAGTGGTCTTTCTTACTCTTGTAGTCATCCTTCTCGGAATTACTGAGTTGAAATCATGGAGGAGGGAGTTCAGTTACAAAAGAATACATCATTAATAGCATCTGAAAAGCCTAAAATTAATTTTTATTTGAAGTCAACTTGTGCTTTTTCCTCTTCACTCTCAATAAAAATAGAGAACATTTAAATTGTTTCATAGATTTTGAAACAGCTTCTCTGTGCTATCAAGAGTATTGATAGTATATATTAAGTTGACACTGTGTCCAAACATGCTTTACAAAGAAAATTGAGCAGATGCTAGTTAAAGTCCTGAACTTTCATTACATGCTTCAGATTGTATAATAGGCACAGAAAGATCATTATATTGATCCTGTCTCTTAATTTAGGAGCCAGGAATGAATGAAAACCACATATGATTTTTATAGCTGAAATAGAGTATTAGCCAAACAGAAGTGCATAATTTTACACATTTCTCTATCTCTAGCCATAGAAACTTAACAAAATATTGATGATTGTAACTCGGATAATTGTATGGTGCTCAGAATTTTTTGCTTTTATTTATATGTGTCTGTCTGTCTGTCTGTGTATGCCACATGTGTCCTGGTACCTATAGAGAGCATTGAATTCACTGAAACTGGACATACAGTTGGTTGTGAGTCACCCAATGTGAGTGCTGGGATCCAAACTTGGGGAGCCTCAAGAGCTCTTAACCACTGAGCCATCTCTCCAGCCCAAGAATTTTTCATATCTTTTTTAATTTAAAAAGTTTATTTGATCTATTTATAGATGAAATGTGATTTTTAAATTTTTTTTTTTAGAAAAAGCATATCATTACAGCTTTAACATGCCCGATAACATTTTCCAGAGCAAAGATACAGCTCCTTCAAAAGTGGCTATAAAATTTTTAGGTTCACTGTTGAATTAGTACAGTTATAATATTGAACTCAGTATAAGCCCGTAAGACATAAAATTGAATGAGTTTTTAACCTTTAAAAAAGATCTCAATTTCATTTTAGAATATATTGTTTCTTACAGAAAGACTCATTGTTTTTGCTACTAACACTGAGATGCTGGTGCATGCGTCTCTAATTTGTATGTATCTAATTATTACTAGTCATGATCATTTGCATTTGGATCCTTGGCACCTGTGTATGTCTATAAAGTCATCGGGTAGATTTCAATGGTAATGTTCATCACCTCTACTAATTGACATGATGTAAACTTCTATGCTTCCTTCTCAAATATAATACATTTTTTAATTTGTTGATTTTTTTCTGTGTATGTATATCACACAGAACATCCCAAACCATCTTATTCAACTATACACCCACTTTGCATGTGTACACATGTAACAATTAGATCGGGGCAACTGGTATGTACATTTGCCTCACACGTCTTTATTTCTTTATATATGGAATAGCCAAAAGGTTCCCAATTAGCTATTCTGAAATTCACAGTGGAGTATTGTCAATCATGGGTGATGTAGTGTGTGATAACATTAGTTATCTCTTCTTCTATCCCACTGTAGCCCTGACCCATTGACCATCCTAACTTCTTCCCCCCACCCAGTCTTTTATAGCAGTCACTCTGTTCTTCTTCCATGAGATCAACCCTTTAATTTTCACATGTAAGTGAGCACATATGGTAGCTGTCTCTGTGCACTTGATTTGTTTAATATACTGTCCTAAAGTTCCATCCATGTTACCAAAAATAACAGAATTTCATTCATGTTTATGGCTGAATAATATTTGTGCTTATACCACATTTCTCCACCAATTCATCCAGTGATGGATACATAGGTTGATTCCTTGGCTGTTACAATCACTGCTACAGGGAACGTGGAGTGCAAGTATCTCAACAGACTGATTTCGCTTCCTTTTGATGCACAGCAGTAGAATTGCTGCTTCGTATTTCAGTTCTGTGTCTATTATCAGGAGGGTAGTGCATGTATGAACAAGTCTGTGTGCACACGAGACCAGAGGTAAACATTAGCTATCTTCCTCTATTGCTCACTGTCTTACCTTTTGAAACAGGGTGTGTCACTAAACCTGGAGCTTGCCATTTTGTGTAGACTGACTGGCCAGCAAGGCCCTGATCCACCCATTTCCACCCCAAGCACTAAGTTACAGACATGTGCTGTCATGCCTGGCTTTTTACATGGTCCTTGTTATCTGGACTCGGGCTGCTTTATCAACAAGCACTTTACCCACTGAGCCATCCCCCAAGCCTCTTGTGCTATCTCCTCAGTCTTTTGTCTGTTGTGAGGAACCACCATGCTGACTTCCATAACAGCTGTCTAGTTTATATTCCCACCAGCAGTGAATGAGAGTCCTCTTTTTCCATATCCTCATCAACACTTGGCATCTTGAATATCTTTTTCTACTTTAATATAGTATTTGTCTTGGCTTTTAGCTTTTACAATAAAATAGCAATTACAATTACCTATATAGTTTTTAGACTTACCACAGTCAATAGTATAGAATATAAAACTCACAGAGAGTCAGTATTTTACAAATCATCAGTAGTTACCACATCTGGTGACACAGTGCATGCTGGGTAAATTTTTGAATGTAAGGACCAGGGGAAGCCATTGGCTCAGAGTTCTAGCTGTCGTTGTACAGAGGTTGTACAGTCTGTTTCATATCTGTGACTCCCTCTCACAGTGCTGCAGGTAATGTGATGTGAAGATAAGGTTAGAGAAGGAGGTTAGAGGTCCAGTATGGCCTTTCTGACCACCTAGAATCTGAAACCCCTATATCTTGCCATATTTTAAGAGAAAGGTATGCTTAATAACATGTCACCAAGATACTATTTTTAAACAAACCAATCTTTGGGGAGTTGACTCAGTGGTTAAGAGCACTGGCTTCTTGAAGAGGATCTGGGTTTGGTTCTCAGCAACCATATGACGGCTAATTGTTCTTAACTCCAGTTCTAGGGGATCCAACACCCTCTTTTGGCCTCTGTAGGCATTGTGCAATATGGGTGCACTTACATACATACAGATAAAACACTCATACGCATTAATTATTAATTAAAATTTTAAAAACCAACTTTTATTTCAAAAGTACAGATAAGTCCAAATTCAAAGTAATCCTGAATAATTATTCATCACTGTCTAGAGTGAGGATTAACTATAAGAATACAGGTAGATATAAAGAACTTCTACAAGTCAATGACCAAAAGAGTAAAATGAAAAAAAAATGAGCAAAGAACGAGAATAGACATTTCGCCAAAGAAGGTACATGAATGAAGCAGGACAGATGGCCAGCATCCCCCGTCAGTAATGGAATCTGAAGCAGAGCATGGTGAAATACTGTGTATCACTTGCTATTCCAAAAATAAATGAATAAATTAAAAATGCCACAGAAAATGCATTGGCAAGAAATTGAAAACGATAATCTGTGTGTATTGTTACTGGTGGTGAGAATGTAAAATGGCAGGGCACCCATAAAGAACAGTGTGTGGACTGGTGAGATGGCTGGCAGAAGAGCTTCAGCCAAGACCATCAGCCTGAGTTTGCTCCCCAGATCACCATGGTGGAAGGAGAGAATGGAATCCTGCAGGTCGTCCTCTGATGTCCACATGTGTACACACACACACACACACACACACACACATAAATAAGCAAATAAATAAATAATATAATTAAAAATTTGAAAAAGAAGACAGATTTGTGTTTCCACTTATGTAGAACTTCCATATGACCCATCAATTCCACTTCTAGTATCTACCCAAAAGGGAAAGCCAGGACTCAGATACTGCACACCTGTGTTAATAGCAGCACGTTCACAGTAGTGGAAAGCTGTAGAAGCCTAAGTGTTCACTGACAGATGAATAGACAAAATTTGGTATGTACAAACATGGGAATATCATTCAACCTTAAAAAGGATGTTTTGTCACATACTATGAGAATGGACCTTGAAGACATTCTACTAAGTGAAATAACCAGACACAAAAGGATGGATACTGTATGATCTCACTTATGTGAACTACCTACGCTAACCAAATTCATGGAGACAGAAAGTAGAATGGTGGTTCTAGGGAAGAGGGGAAACATCCATGGGGAGTTAGTGTTTCATCAGTTGCGTTTCATTTAGGGAAAATGAAAACTTTGGAAGACAGATGGTGGGGATGACTACTCAATATTGCCCATCTACTTAATGCTAAAGAGTTATATTTTAACCATGGTCATGGTAAATGTTATGTTATGTATCTTTTATGACAAGAAGAAAAAAATAAAGGAGGACATGGGAAAGAATCCACAAGAAAAGGCAAGGTATATAAACTAGATTAAAACATTTTCAGGCACTGCTTTTTCTACAAATTTCCCATTTGTCTGCCCAGGGCTTACAAGGACTCCCCGGCAGCACAGGAGACAGGGGACTTGCAGGCGAACCAGTAAGTTTCTTTATGTTTTGCTAATTATGTTTTTCTTGTAAGGTACCTTTACCTCTCCATGGCTGATACCCTGGCCAGCATTGATCCCAGGTAGCATAGGCTAATTTTATATAGGATGAATATTTTACTGTGTTAACTCCGCAGACTGTATGAATATGTTGCTGTCATATAGTTTTTACTGCCTTGATGATTTCATGTGGTCAGATATAGTACCTTTTCCCTGTGACTGTTAAAATGGGCATATTTCTTTCAAAAAAAGAAGGCTTTTGAAAGAGTAAAGACAAATAAATACAATTTATAGAAAAAATCTAATAAAACCATTCAAGTCCGTGGCTTGACTAATTTATACCTTCAAGACCTAAACAATAGCCATGTGTTAGGAAACTATTGAGATACCATTTCATTCATTCACTCATTTGTCTAACCATCTGGTAGGTACCGTGTAGCATTCTAAATGAGGACTTAATATTCAAACAGTAAAATACAAAAAGAAAACTTTGTTTCAGAAATGCTTGTTCAGGATGGCTTGCTGTTCTTCTGATTATTACATTCACACACACACAAAATCACATTTATGAAATGAAGCCCACTCTATAATAAAAGACCATGCATCTGACTGGCCAAAATGTACAAATATGAAAGAAATACTGTTATATCAACAATACAGAAACATCCCACGATTTCATAAATATGAGTCAGTTTTGGAGTTTCCACGGAAAATGCATTGTGAAAAGGAAAAAACCTAGCTGCAGCTCCTTTTTCAGAACTTACCCTTTACTGCCAATGAAGTCATTCTTTTGGTTCATCATGTCAGATGTAAGAAGCTATAATGAGCTTCTGAGATTCATACACAATATAGTCTTTCAAACCACTGGGTTGATATTATCATCAGCTGACACAAAGGTTTACAGGTGACCTTTATATAATTCATTTAGATAGTAGCAAGTGGAAAACTTTAACAGAGTGAAAGGTTCATGCTTAACTGATGATATAAACTCTCAATAGTAAGTAAAGAGTTGAAAATATATATAATTCATTCCAAATAAAAAGCTAAAATATGGCATTAATTTTGCACAACTAAATCCTTCTAATTTGCTGTTCTAGTCTGTGTATCTCAACCTGCCTCCCCACCACAAATACTTATTTGACTTAAAGTAATGAACCTGCTTTAGCACAGTTACCAGTTTAGACCATTTCTTTGACCTTTGCAACCTTCTTTCCTGGTGTAGTGCTCAGCATATTAAATCTACTCTCTCTCTCTCTCTCTCTCTCTCTCTCTCTCTCTCTCTGTGTGTGTGTGTGTGTGTGTGTGTGTGTGTGTTCAACCGGATAAACAAAAGGTCAGGTACCCTAAGGTTTAATCATTCAGGCACAAGAAATATTACAGGAGAGGAAATGGAATGAAGACTGATTAAATTTTATTAGAATAAAAAAGACATTTAAGTATTGATAAATATGTAAAGCTGTGGTCACAGTAGAGACAAGCTCTTAGGATCTAAAAGAGGAAAGATTTATTACTTAGGATTTATACAAGAAAAGACTTGTTAACAAAATGACTCAACAGTGCCTAAAAAATTAATGTGAAGGTCACAGGGTCATGGGAGTGTCAAATAAAATACAAATCAATTTATAATGGACATAATAGACTTCGTGCCATATCTTTGAGCTGCTGCTCCAGTTAGAAAAAAAAATTGGAAAAATGGAAAGGTGCAAAAAAAATGAAACATATTTTGTATTTTGACAATAATGAAGTGAGAACTATAGCCTTTCTACAGCCAAGATTCAAAATTTATTTCCTCATTGCAATACAAGTATTTTTGTTTAAATAGGTTACTAGTTATTCATTGATTCAATCAGCTGACAAATATTTATTAAAATCTCTTGGTCCACTGTGGTTAGCATGATATTTTCAGCCTGGTGTAGAAGAAAATACTAATTAAATAATTGCATGTAAGTGGATAATTATAAATTGAGATAATATCATAAAGTACAGTCATAACTTAATATCCCTGAGGCTCCAGAATCCCTCAGATAATAAGTTTGTGGATGCTCAAGAGCTCAAAGAAAATGGTGTAGTAGCTCCTTATAACGTACCCACATGTGCTTTAAGTCATTTCTAGATTATTTATAAAATCTGGTGAGATATAAATGCTATGTAAATAATTGCTAGAGTACATTACTCAAGGAATATTGTCAAGGAAAAAGTCTGTACATGTTCAGTGTAGATATTAAGTTTTTTTTCCTTCTGTATTGACCAAATCCATGGATTCAGAACAGACAGAAAGGGATGACTATATAGAAATTCAGATCCAAAAAGGTCTGTCAGATAAACTGTCATAACCTAGAGATTCAAGAAAGTGTCCATGAACAGAGAGTTATGATCTGAAAGGAGAATAGCAGTTACCCTGGCCAAGATGAGGACTTTGCTCCATAGAGAGGTCATGAGTTGGGAGGAAGCATGAAGTGTTTAAAGAACACAAGACAGTCAGCATCGCTATGACAGTCAGAAAGCAAGAGCAACATAGGAACACAACAGGAGGCAGGCAAGAACACACACAGCTTTATTCCCCAGGATTTCTATATTTATCTTAAACAAACAGATGTCACTGGAGGGAAGGAACAGTGATCAGATTATTGTAAAAATCATCAAACCACAGGGGTAGAAGGAGCCAAGAGCAATGATCAGACAAGGTACGGAGGAACCTGTATGACTAGTGGGCAAAAAAGAAGAGGACAGGCTAAAAACAGCCAAAAGGTGATACAGGCAACAGGAGATACAGAGCCTGTGGGTGAAGTATCATTTCTAAGTGTCTAGCCTCTTATGTTAAAGAGATAATATCATTCATTGAAACAGAAAAACTGGGTTGGAGAACAAAAGATTACAAGCTCAGTTTCAGAGTGTGGAATTTGAGATGCCTCTAAGAAATGTTATTTATTATATTCAGATCAGAGGAATATATAGAAATTTAAAAAATATGGAAGCCCTGGGCTGGAGAGATGGCTCAGTGGTTAAGAGCACTGACTGCTCTTGCAGAGGACCCAGATTTGATTCCCAGCACCCACATGGCAGCTAAGAACTGTCCTTAACTCATTTCAGGGGAATCCGACACCCCCTTCTAACCGCTACGGCATTGCATGACATGGGTGCACTCATATATATGCAGGCAATACACTCATACACATTAATAATAAGTAAAATATTTTAAATATATATCTGGAAGTCCTGCTTATGGAGGCAGTAGAGAAGGGATAGAAGAAAAGGGCCTGTCAAAAGACTTGATGGGATCCAGGCATGGTGGTTTAATCCCAGCACTCGAGATGCAAAAGCAGGAGGATCTCTGTGAGTTTAAGGCCATCCTGATCCACACAGCAGTGGGTAGTGAGTTCCAGGCCAGCCAGGCCTACATAGTAAGACTTTAAAGAAAAAGGCAGCATAATGGGGCCAGTAAGATGGCTCAGTGGGTAAGGTGCTTGCTGCTGAGCCTGACAACATGAGTCCTATACCTGGAGCACACATAGTAGGAAGAGAAATGACTCCCATGCATTGTCCTCTGACCTCCATGCAAGCTCTATGGCAAGTCCTCCTCCCCTCCCCTGCCCCTGCTTTCCTGTACACATACACACACACGCACACACACACCACACACACGCACACACACACACAGACACACACACAAATGTTTTTAAAAGGATACAATGACAATTGACTTTCCTCTATTCTACAATCAGGTAACATTTCATTCCATAGAATAAGTGTTCTGGGGCTGGAGAGAAGACTCAGTGGTTAAGAGCACTGATTACTCCTGTGAAGGGCCTGGGTTTGATTACCAGCATCCACATGGCAGCTAAGAACCATCTGTAACTCCAGTTCCAGGGGATCTGATGCCTTCTTCTGACCTCCATGGGTATTGCATGACATGGGTGCACTTACACACATGCAGGCAATATACTTATATATATAAAATAAAAATAATAAACAAAATATTTTTTAAATAAGTGTTCCAATGAACTGAGAAGAAGAGTAGGTTTTATAGACAGAAATGGGGCAACAGAAAACATCAATGGACTGATGATTTCCAAGTTCCTTTCATTGAAAAGTAAAGCTAGGCAGACAGTAACAGGACAGAACTGATGGATGGACACCTAGTCATTCAAGTTACCTTTTTTAGGGATGAAAGCTAGAGGAACTCATTTCTGTGATGATTGAAGCTGGCTTATTGGGCAATTTGGTTGCTTACTCCCTGCTGATTTCTCAGATGACCAGATTATGCCTGACTTTTGCTTCCATATTGAGAGATGTTTGAATGAGTGCCTTTCCATTTTAGTCTGTTCTGTCAGTGTAGAGAGAAGTCTTAATTCAGAGCAATGATCTCCTGTAACTTCTATCTAGCAGATGTAAGACTGAAGTTTAAAGACTCAGATTTTCCCAAATGTTGGTAGAGGAGAATAGGAATCCAGAAAAGGCTAAAGACATAAATTAGAAGTTTTCGACCTAACCATGACCTTCGTTAAATCTCTGTGCCATCTTCCATTCCTTTAGAAATGTGCAGGCCTAAAGATGAGTAAATAAAGTATAGCTGTCAATCCAGTCACCTGCTTTTTAAATCAAGTTTCTCTAACTACAGTCACACTATATGTGACTGCTTTCAGGTTGGACAGCAATGTTGAGTAGTTAGGTTGGAGACTATATGACCCACAACCTCAAATACCAACTAACCCTTCAAAAAGAGGTTTCTGACCCCTGATTTCAATTTTAGTCATATATACAAAATAAAAGAAAGTGCTTAATAAATGCTAAATTGATATAAATGTCCCTAGGTTTGTACAGTGTATAGCCTGCAACTATATACAATGCCCTCCAACAGGAATAAAATAGGGTTTTTACTTTCCTTTTGTTTCTTTGGGGTTTTAGCATTTTATTATTTTTCTTTATGTGTATAAGTGGATTGCCTGTATGTGTGAAAATGCATCCATGTTGTGCACTGCCCTTGGAGGTCAGA